GTTCATTTAGTGTAAAGCCCCTTAAGCTGTTTAAAGATGAGTTAGCCACTTTCCAATATAAAAAGAAACAAAATTTGAATTTTTCAACTTTATTTAGGGGATGCTTAGAGAGATGCTACATATTACATGTATTTTTAGGAAATCTTAAGGGAATTAGTTAAAGCATTATAACTATTCCTCTTTAATGAAATACATGTACTAGAATTTTATGGGTAACATGTATTTAGACTTAAATAAAAAAAAAATTGATTTTAATTTTTTTTCATTCTTGAATTCCATACTCAGTACACTGATTGATTGATTGATTGATTGGATGAATGATTGATTGATTGATTGTATCTATTAATTCATGAATGAATTAATTGATTGATTGATTGATCATGATGCACAACCCCTAAATAAAATGATAATTTTTGCTGTATTTGTAACACCTACATTGTTATGCATAATATCTTGAGTTTGTATAAAAGTCTCAAAAACATGTATTTTAAATCTGAAAGTGACTAATTTATATAAAACCATGTTTTAGATGGCTACTTCACTCATTTTATATCTATTTAAGAAGGTTTAAATACCTTACTAGACAAAGTACAGTCTCTCTGATTCATAGGTTATATTTGAAAAAATTTCAAGCTTGGCCGGGTTTTGAAGTATCCTCTATTTAACATTTTTAACCACCCAGTTATAGGATTTTGTGTCACGTATAACAAAAACATATTCCATTGAAACGCGTTTCGTATCTTTTTGATGTTTTTAACAGGCTAGTGAAAGAAGATTCGCTCCATGATTTTGCACTCTGGAAATCGAGTCAAGTTGTCAAAGTTGGTGGCCGAATTGATATTGTGCTTGAATATCATATTGCCATGAAAGGCGAGTGAAAGTAGTGCAAAGAAACGATGCAGTCGGTCTTTGTTGCGATTCTGATATACCGCTGTTTTTATGAAAAGATATGAATATTAATTCAAGCTGGTAATTGCGGTAGAATAAGAGTGCACCAATATCTAAGGTCATGTGTTGTTTGATTTCATTAGGGACGTCTCATCGTTAGGATTAAAGATAATGTTGTATTTGATTTTTTATCATGCTTAGGTACTCCCCATGTTGAGAGGTCTTTAGAATTTCTCATCATTCGCTCTTGAAACTTGTTTTCATACTGTTTTGACATCATACACGGCATGTGTGTGTTACTGTGTGTGTTTTTTTCCTCTCTCTCTCTCTCTTTGTGTAACTGTTACTTCATAACATTTCATTCTTCTATTATTTTTCTATAAACGTTATGTTAAGGTCACACATTTTTGAAATCAGATGTTTGATATAGTTACTATAATGAAATATGAAGTTTTTGCATAAATGAATGCAGGGAAATAAGTGAAATGCTGTTCGATTTTGAAAGAAATTTTTGTTAAGAATTTTGCAAATTATTTGGCAAACCACATAAACCTATTTAACTTTTGCCTAATTTGTTCTCCACAAGTAGATGTCAACTTCTTCAGAGAAATCATTTATAGAGAAATGTCAAATTATGAAAATCCAACATTCCATCTGAATGTTTTCTAGTATTATATGTATCATTTGGCATCTTAGGTTTCAACTCATTTCCATCAGCAAATAAAGTAGTCACATTTAAAGCAAAATGCAAGTTTATTTATTTCTTATGTAACAAGAAAAGTTGCCCGCTGATTGTGAGGAATAGAAAATTAGAACTAAATTCAATAATCAAAGTAGGCAGAACTGACAAAGATTGAAATACTGGTACAAAAACTGTTTTACAATACAATGAAATACATAATCGCAACCAAATTTATCAGTTATCTAAAATGTGTGTGGCGTATTAACATACAGCGATCATAATTCTGCATGTGCATATCAAGTGCCACTCGGCACTACTTTTTTTCCTACACCCTCAAAAAACGATTACAGTCGAAAACCGTAACAGAGACGTATTGTTGCACATTTTTATCAAGGTAATCTGGTCTTTTCCCGAGATCCGATAGGTAGTTCCTTTGTTGCACAGTGACGAAATCGGACATATAAAATAGCAATGTAGTTTCTTCAGTTACAATTTATGTTTTATGCAGATTTCACAAAAGATTGATGGCTTTTGCGATTTTGACATTTAAGCGGTACGTTAGGTCAGAGAATCTGATTCCATCTCACATAGTACACCACTTAAACTGACAAATCTACTTATCAATTTTGATTTTTTTTTATTCATTTTTTTTTACACCAACCATATGTTGTATTAATGAACTTACGCTGAGCAAAAATGAAGAAGTTTTTATTCAGAACTATTAATTAATATGCGTCCAATTATACAAATGTTAGGTTGCATAAAGAATTGCTGTGGGATTTTTTAAAAGGTCATATTTCTCTTCATACTCTATTTCTTGATGTTTCTTTAATATTTGCCTGTGTGTTTGCAGGTCTTTTATATTGTCTTTTAAAGGAAATGTTCTTTGTTGATATTTTCCAGACTTTAAGTGTTTATGGTCTGAAGGATTCATGCTAAAATGCCTTAAATAAGGATCTTCTCTCAGCTTATCAACTTGAATAAACAAACATGTCTTTAATTTGTAAGAAAAATTAAAAGCAATGGTTGCATAATTTTGTTGCAAAAGTGTCAGTGGGGGGAAAATGTTATTTAACCTTTATTATTAGATTTTTAGTTGGCAAATTTTACAATTCCAAAGGAACTTTTGATTAAGAGGTGTATCGAAAAATAAGTACAATGTTGTCCTGTGTGCAAAATACCACCCATCGTGTTGATATCTTAGAATCTAGTCTGCATTCAAAAAGTCAACATAATTATGATTTACCCGCTGATAACTTTTTTCTTTTATTTATCGAAACGACAGCTTTGATCTTTTTTGACTTGGTGCAAGCCTTTTCAAACACATGCACAGCCCAGGTCATTGTTAATAGAAAAAAAATATTTTGTGTGACGTTGCATAACATTATCAGATTTTTACTTCAAACGTTTTACATGCGGCATTCATAAATAATGAACAACCTATGCATAATTAGAAGTTAACTGGTGCCGTTATATATTACCCACACTGCAACTGGTAATTATGACCCTAGCTTATAGTGATGAAAGAAATCTTGCTATTTCCCTAAGGTTTAAAAGATCTTACCCTCATATAAGGTTACCTTCTTGACTCAAAGCTTCTGCCCTAAGGTTTAAAATATCTTACCCCACCCACCGCGTATAAGCTTACCTTCTTGGCCCTAAGGTTTAAAATATTTTACCCCACCCACCTCGTATAAGCTTACCATTGACTTGAATCTTTCTCAGGATGGTAATCATCATATTAAAACATCTTGTCAGATTTATTATTTGTGTTCTTAAATTAAGATGATTTATATCCTGTCACTGCGGTATTTCAAATGTTAGAAATTGATTTTGTGTGCAGGTTTTGTTTAAAAGTTTAACTTGTTTTTAAAAAGTTTTTTTGCTTGTAACATCTTTTACACAGTGCAAGATTAAATTTTCAATAAAATATCTGTACAGGAAAACAGCCATCTCATGGTTGCGATTAAATATTCTTACTATTGCTTAGGTTATAGATCGTAATCTTTTTTTCGTGAAACCAGTTTCGAAAGTAAAATATTAGGAATGTAAAAACTATGTACATCCTTTGTGCGAATTTTCCTTTCTTTCTTTTTAATATCAATTAATGATAGTGACCTAGCCGGGGAAAAGGTTATGGTATATTTGTTGTATTCAACAACTAGATAAATTCAAAAACGCAATTTATCTCTCGAGACAATGTCGTCCCCTTAGGCACTTCTATGTCACCTACCGCAATGATATGTTTATAGGTCACTGTAGCAGCTATACTTGAATATAGAGTATAAGTAGTAAATGATAATTAGGTGTATAGATTGTTATATGCTTATTGAAATCTGGTATTAATATTTGATTTTGTCCACGAAATATGTTTTCAATATGAAAATGCTCACAATAATGTGAAAAAGTAGGAGGTTAAGATCAAATTGTAACAAAAATATTATAATTTTTCTATTCTTACAGTTATAGTTACTGTCATATACTGTCATATAACTATCACTTTTGATCTTTAGACTTTACCATATCTTTTCCATAGAAAATTACACACTTGAAGTTGATTTTTGCTATCTGTAATAAAAGACATTGCAAGAATAAATTTTTTTGAATTTATGAATGAAATTTTTTTTTATAATTGTTTTTCATATTTCACTCTGCAGCTCCCATTTACTATACTATAACTCCCACTTCCTAAGTTTTCAACATTTTACAATAAAATTATACCCTTAAGGCTTTATGTTTGGTAGCTTAATGTATCTCCTATACAGAAGAGTTCCGTTGTTCATGCATAATATTATAGCAGTAAAAGCTTATTGCAGTAAACAAGTAGTATTTATACACGTACACCACTTTTTTATCCTGCTGGTACTTGAACAAACTGCTCTGTTGAACAGGTTATGAAACCGTTAAATTTCTCGAAAGTATCTTTTTATGAAAAAATCTTCTGTTTGATAATATTGCATACGAAACAGTGTGCCGAATAATCTAGAATTTGATTTTTATCTTGCCTTGAATGTATGTATGTCAATTTTATTTTCCTTCTGGTCTTAGTAGTATACTTGCTTTGCTTAGTAGTATACTTGCTTTGTGACTATGTCTTCCAATAGATACAAAATGTGTGTTAATACAAATGATATTCGATCCATATTAATTTCTTTTCTTTAGCCACTAGTGACCTAGTGGTTCTTTAGCCACTAGTGACCTAGTGGTTAAGATGTCTACCTCTCAACCAGGGACCACGGGTACGAGCCCTGTCAGGGTCATGATTATGTTTCTATATATGACATCAGTACTGGTTAGTTTCAGGAAGAGGGCTAAAGAGTGGTTCAGATATCCTGATTACTCTTCCACAATAGAGCTTAGATGAATAATGTTTAATCTAAAGAATTTATTGCAGTTGACCTATTTTTCGAATTTTGTTTGTCTTTTTTAGAGGGTGGACGACTGGAAAAAGAACTGACCTACACCAAAGAGGCAATTGGAGCGGGAAGTGATATAACCAATCAAATTGTGATACAGACACCGAAGGTTGGAAACAATGTACTCACGCAAGAATCCTTTAAACAACACAGAGATGCCCTTGTTAAGGCGTCTGAAATCACCGTTACCATGTTTGATCTGTAAGTTGATTTTTCAAATGGTTTCCTAGTTTAAAGATTGAACAACTGTAGGGATGTTCATTATTAATTTAGGTTGAACTCCTATTTGGTAGCAGAATCCCTTGCATTGATAATGGACAGTTCCAAATTCATTGCAGGACAAGTTCATTTGACAAATTTAGGTAAAAGGTTTATTTTAATTTAAACATTTTGTAATAAATTAATTCTTAGAAATATATATAAAAAAAAAGTTACTATTCTTTTCAAAAGCTGTAAAATTTTAGTTAATTTTTTGCTTGTATTATATTAAAATTGTAAACTAAAACAAAATAAACAAAACTGGAAAGTATTTTGCATCTTTTTTGAAATGAACTTATGTTGTTTCTATTTATAGCCAATGGAAATTCCATGACTTATGTTATCTGGCACAGTTTCCCATGTTTGAAGATGACTTGATTGATAAGGTGAGTTTGTTTTTTTATAACAAAATTTGAACGTTGATTTTTAACCCTCTTAGTTATGATTTGAGACTATGCCACCGGTGTTTACACTAAGATTATCAAACAGTTTTGGCTTTTCAATTTATTTGTAAAAATAAATGGCTATATTTTGCATGTTTTTGCTTACTATTCAACATTCAAAAATGTAAAATTAAATTGTACTAAATAAGCCTTGATATTGATTGAAACATGTAAATCTTCATCTGCACTGCAAGCCTGGATTTGCTGGTGTCAAAATTAAAGGGACATGACTGAGTTTTTTTGACATGACTTGACTGGATTTTTTTTTTCAAAATAAGTATTCTAATTGGGAAAAATGTGATTTTCTTTTATTTTTTCTGAGTATATTTTGTAGTTATCTTCTTCATATCTGTCTGTTTTAACAACCTCAGCTGATATATATTTAAGAAATTCAAGTTTTATGTTTTAAGGCTTTTTGACCTTAGTGGAGTTCCTTTAAAGAAACCACACTTTAAACATTATTTCTGTGTTTTATTTTTTCAGTTTATGTGACATTGTTCTTTTCTTTTTCAGACTTTAGAACAGATATTACCATGTGTTGTTATGTCCCCACTAGACTGTTTCTGGGAGGGTGCACAAGTTCTTGGACCACAAAATTTCCATTTGAGGTATTTTTTCTTTTACCATTACTATGTTCGAATAATGTCAGGCTCTTATACTGTTGGTTGACCAAATTTAAATTGTCATCTTGATATCTTCAAAATTGATAATGGAACATTCCAAAAATCTTCTATGAGACTAGTCAATGGCATGAATTAAGTATGTAAAGGGTGGAAAAACCTAACAATTTTCTGGAATTTTGGGGAATTATTGACACTTATTATTTTCTCTTTTTTCATCACATATGAAAAGTGATAAGAGATTTAAGAGGTCTGATGTATCATCTAGTGTCAAAAAAAAAAGAGTTTTGAGAGGCTATGTTTATCATGTAGAGTCAAAAAGAGTTTTGAGAGGTCTTGTGTATCATCTAGTGTTAAAAAAGGATAGTTATGTGATCTGATGTACCATCTAAGTCACAAAAAGAGTTTTTAAGTGGTCTGGTGTGTACCAATGAAATGATATTGATAGATTTGCGTGATGTTTTATTGTTAAGTATATATAGACTAACAAAATACTCTTTACCCTTGCATTCAGGAATTTGAATATGATATTACAGGGGCAACCTTGGCTTTTTCCTTCTTAATTCATTAGGATATAGATACCTTCAAATTTAATTTATAAAGAAAATACAACAATGTCAAGTTTATTTAACAAAATGTTTGTGTTTTCTTTTTAAATTCATAAAATAAGGTTAACCTTTCTTTGCATTTGAAAATATATTTAAGACTAATGATGATATAAATTACCTAAAATTTAAAAAGAAAAAAATAATTCTGTCGTTGTGATCTTCAGTTCACTTGTATGCCACAAAGAGTATTTCCTTGAAGTCAGATAATGTTTCAAAATTATACCCACCCGCGTAGATATTTTTGAAGTGGCTGCACCAAGAAAATGAATTAATGAAAAATTGCTTTTAACTTCATCTGTCTATCAAATAAGACTACAATAGAATGTTTTGTTTCGAAAGACAGAGAAAACTGGCGGTGCTTTACAAAGCACAAAAGACATCAGAGTCTTGTAAATGACTAAAATGTCTTTGGTGGCCAAGATGAAACATTGTAAAATGGCTCGTAATCACTTTTTCAAGGTTTGTTATAAAAGCTTTTAAGTTCTATGCCGTCTTTTATTATCAAAAGAGTAACAGATGCTTATAGATATGCAGACATTTCAGACTACTGAACACCAGCAATGAAACTAGTTTTAAAACATAGTCTTTTATACCAAATCTGAAGCAAAAAAATTTATTTTTTGTTAAGCAACGTCCTACGTTAAGAAGCCACTTTTATATTCCTAAGGAGTGATTTTTGTGGACAAATTTTATAGAATACCCTTTCTTAACCTTTCCCTGTCGCCAGTATTAAGCCAGGTCAGCCAACACTTCCATGCATTCCAACCAGGCTCTCTACTGTTGGCTGACTAACATTAAACTTTCCTATTGATACCGCCAAAATCGACTGTCCCAAAAATGGAAGCTGGACAAGTCCATTTAAGAAATTGTGCCAGTTAAACGTGAAGACTTACTAATACAGGTGGTAATATTATTTCTCAGGCATTTTCGGCATTTATTATTTTCTCAGTTACGTAATATATCCATTTATCAAAATAAGTAATAGACGAGTTCCTCTCTGATATTGTATCTTAATTTATAAAAAAAAATCTATCGCAGTAACACGGGTATAAATTTCTCATTTTTTGCCATTATCATTGAATAAATCTATTATCCGAATATATCAAATAAGAAACCTATTATTCATAATATCAACTTTCTATAAGAATCAATAAGAAATTCAAAACGTAGTGTAATTTACATAATTTCGTAATTTAAACGTAATTTTTTTTTTACATTATGCGAAACGAAAAGTAAACCTGCACGAGAACACAATGCTTCAACATTGCCAACTAGTGTGGTCCACGCCTTATCATTCAGTCATGAAACGATAAGTACACTGCCAAGAATGTAATTTTATGATTTTGAAATAATTTGAAGGGGAAATTTCTGTGTCATTTAAGATTAAGAAATAATTGTTTTCAAGCCTAGGATTGTTTTATAATTATAAACTTTATTTGCAGTTTAAACTTATTCATTTTAACTCTCTTGTGGAGAAAGCTTGAAGTTTACTTCCACCACTCATGGAAAATATTTTGTCATGTTGGTGTATTTGTGAATATTTAGAATAAAATTGATAACTTTTTGCATCTTTGATGTTACATAGTTTTGGTAAAAAGCCAAAGCAAATGTATTATAATTATATTCCTTTATAACCAAATTTCAACCTTAACATTAAAACTACATGTAATATAGATCCTTATACCACATTTCAGCCAGTATATTTCAACATTTGGCATTATACCAAATTTCAGCCAGCATATTTCAACATTTGGCATTATACCAAATTTCAGCCAGCATATTTCAACATTTGGCATTATACCAAATTTCAGCCAGCATATTTCAACATTTTGCATTATACCAAATTTCAGCCAGCATATTACAACTTTCATTATATAACTTTATACCAAATTTCATCAAAGTTATTCTCTTTACTTTGCCTGTATTAATGTTATTTAAATAATATCATATTTAATATTTAAAGCTTTCATATTTGTTTAGAAAGCAGTTGAAAGATTTTTTAATTTTTTGCAATTAATTTTTTTTCCACAAAATTCAATAATCAGAAGATCTTTTTTGTGTTAGGTCCAAGGTATTGTATGTTGATTCAACCTTTACACTTGTCAATTATATTTGATTCGAACACTGGCATCTTTGTTCAGTCAGCAAAATAAGTTGTTGAAAGCAATTTTTTGCACCGAACAAAGACATTTGTTAAAGACACGCCATCCAGTCAAAGGTTTTAAAGATATTTGTTATGTCAATACTCAGTAACATGATCGTTCCTCAAACAGTAGTTTTGGAGTAGATCTGGAAAGTTGTAATCCTTTACGTTGCTACTTGTCCATGAAATAGAAATAAAAGTTATTGAAAGGTATTTACATAGGATTTGTACGATGTCGTATAATTTGCCAAATGTTGTCTTTGCCGAGGTTTTGTTTCTGTTATCGGTAAATTTATGAGAACGAAAGCAGGTTAGCTGTATTGTATACTATGGTAGAGCTTTTGACAAGAATCTATGAAATTTCAGCGGGGAAGTGTTATTGTTTAAAAAACTAGAACAATATGGCAATGTTTTTTGGTTAGAAAATACGGTTTAGTAGTGTTTAGGTATTTGAGTTTTGTATCCGAGATTTTGTTGATGATTTATTTTGCATTGAAACTGTTGTGTATGCAAGTTTTTTGTATTTATTTCCTAATCAATGTCTTATCTGGATTTCTCAAACTTTTTTTTCTTTCTTTCTTTCGACCCTACCCATGCTAAATTTGTATAATGAACTTGTCCTCGGTTGTGTTTGGAACTGTCCATTTTTGATGTAAGGGATTTTTATATACAAATTAATCAGCTAACAGTATAGAATCTGGTAGGACTTCATGTCATAGGCAAAGTGTTAATTTTTCATCGATCGCTGGGAAAAAAAATTAATTCAATTTAATCTTTCATCTTCATGTTAATGCATTTTTTATCAATTGTTACATTTGTAATCACTGATTTGATTAAACAAGCAGCTTATTAACTGTAACTGTTATATTTTTAAAATCATTGCACATAGAGTGTACCATTATCTGTTAAAAAAACTAGATATGTCTAAAATTTACATATCATTGCATGAACAAATAAACTTTGCGTTTTTTAAAGTGAACGTTTATAATTTTAAGCTGGATCATATAAAAGTGTTATAAAGCACACAGATGTAGGAAAGTTTTTTTTAAAGTTTTGTTGATCAAATGTCTGACATTTCCGTGCTCGGTGGAGCGATAAGGGCAAGCCACAGTCGTCATGTGTGGCCTTATGGGTAACTGGAATAAGACAAGTTTCGCTCCAGTGAACAGTTTTTTAACAGTGTAAACAGTGTTGCGATGTGAAAAGATGTATTTGTTGAAATGAAGGGTTTTATACTCTGAAGCACACTCTTTGTTAATGTTTTTAAACCTATTTATTTGTGAGAAAAATCTACTGTATGAAAAATATTTCTTATCTTCATGCATTAATAATACTGTTACATTGAAACTGTTTTTGTCTCCTAGACAATTAAATAGGCAATTTATTAAAGAAAGGGTATCATGATGTACAGTACTAGTTTAAATAAAAATTTGTTCTTCCCTAATAATAATTTTAAATCTCATGACCTGAGTTTAAGGTTTTACATCGTTATTAGGTCACAGTTTTAACAAGGTAGGGTGGGATATACATGTACATTGCTTTTTCTCTCAGATCATCATGAATTGATTCATAACCCACATCCATTGAAATTGAAAAGCCATATTAACAGATTCTTTCATAACAGACTTTTGCCTGATTTCCACAGCCTGTTCTGTTTCTTAGGAGAATTCGCAGTTTTCTACAACTGTTTACATTTTCTCCTTGCCTTAACCTCGTTCCTTTGCATGTCAAGTAAAAGAATCTGAGATTTTTAATCAATTATTTCCCAGAGAGTTTAGATAAGAAAAGAGATAAGTAAAAAACTTTGGGGATTCTTTCCTTGATAAACAAGAGAGGTTCACATTTGCTGACAGATCGCTGCAAGTCTGAAAGAAGCAACTGGAAAAAAATTGATGGATTTCAACTGAGATTTTATTGCTCTGCTAAAAATAGTTTGGTAAAAATCCGCCAGTAAAAACTCCCCTTAAACCTGTCAGGATGTTTACATTTTAGACTTTTAGAGCAGCCTAAATATTGAAAATGACACTTCTCAAGATAAACTTAAAACTCTTCCACAGTTTTACAAATTTCATTGGATTAAAGTTGATTAAACTTCAAAAGTTACCTTTCTTCGCTTAAAAAATCTATTTTGACTACCAGGAAGATTCCTGTTAGTGATGTTAATAAGAAATTTCAATCCATTCCAAAAGATACTAATCTGAATCATAACTTGCAGACGTACTAGGGTGGTCTGTTTGATTGTTAAAATGTTGGCCAAATTTCATAGAACATATTCCATGATTAAGTCTGTTTATTTTTCTAGTGTAGGAAGTGTAAGGGATTTAATGGTCCAATAATTTTACCTGAACAGATTACAGGATGTTGAAGCCGATTGTTTATATAAGAAAGATCATGTTCAAAATCTTATTTCAAAAACACCCACCATACTCTAAAGATGAAAGTAAAAAAAAATACACAACACATTGTATGAGCTTGTAAAAGGTTTAGAAAGAATATTTTTATTGAAACTTTCTTTGTTTTTATTCTGTAGACAAGGTTTTCAGCATGCTCATGTACTAAATTATAAAGATGTTTTTTTCATATACATGTATATAAAATTATGAAGAAAACAATGTTAAATGTTTTGTGTTATTTGTTGTTTTATGGAAAAGTAATACTCTTATTTTTCAGTGGCTTTGTACAACTGAGATGGATAAATTTGAACCCGCTAGATCTTGTACAGAAGATGAAAGAATCATTTGCCGATGGTGATATGATGGAAGACGTCCTATTGGAGTCTGGGATATCCTCAGGCTACCAAGAAAAACCATGCATTGACCCCACACATCCCGATTGTCCTGACACGGCACCAAACAAAGCTTCACAAGAGGTGAGTCTTTAGAAATTGTCATCGTTGATTCGTTTTGGTATTAACTACAATGTATTAAAAAAATTTGTTAGATTTAATAAAGTCACAATCTTAACAATTATGCAACATATGGTTGAAAAAATAAAATCGGAAAATGATCTAAATGACATATCTTTGAAGTAAATTTTACAAAATTGCAGATTATAAAACATCTGAACTATCTGTGAAAGGTTTAGTAACAGTCTGTGATGACTGTACTAACAAGGTCATGTTACCATTTTAACATTTCATCTACTAGACTGGACATATGTTGTACTGCAAATACATGATGAAAACAATTAATGAAATTGAAAACCAGTCTGCTAATTGTCATGCATGTTATAATCATGCATTCTGTTGCTGTCTGATTGTAATTATAGTGTTTAACACACCAGAATTACATAACAGACTGTTTTGAATTGAATTTTATGCGAATTCATTCAAGCAGAAGTGAGAGAGATAGTTATTTGTAACATTATCACATGTTGTCAATTGTCACCGTGTCACATGCAGTAAATTGTCACCATATCACATGCAGTAAATTGTTACCGTGTCACATGACTGTTGTAATTGCATGTTAGCAAAAGAAGCAGATTTGCGCTGAAGCAACAAAGTTCTGTGCTGTTTCAAAGCTAAATTTGTATAATGAACTTGCCCTGCTTCGAAAATGGATCTGTCCATGTCATATAAAGGGGTTATTCAGATGACACCAATGAGTCGTTGTAGCAGGTAAAATTCAGAATGTTAAAGAATAATGCTATCTGTCAATAAAATTTTGAAGAGCCTAAAGTTATTTTATCTACTAGGATTTCCGATATGACTGAGGCAATGAACATTGGACCATTGTTAGGTTTTTGCATTTATACACACACATCTTACACCATTTACAGATAAGTGTTAGCAGTGTTAATTGCAGGTCTGTATGTCATCCGTTTAGAGGCGGGCCATCCCTTAAGTCATGTGCAGTCTGACCAAAATTTATACTGTTTGTAGCTTGATTATAGCATTTTGATAATTAAATCCCTTAAATTAATAATGGACACTTCTAAATTCAAAGCTGGCCAGTTCCATTGCACACAAAAAAGGTTTATGTTAGTAATGGCTTGGTTTCTCCATAATCTTACGAATGCTTCTATAGTACTGCACACCATATAATTGGGAAATTCTGTCGTTTCCTACACTCAGGTGCATCAAAAATTATTAACAAATTTATTGTAAGCTTCTTATTAGCAGTAGGATCCTTATAGTGCACTCACGCAGCGGCACATGTTGATATTTGCGTCTCGAAGAATTATACGTTTTCAAGAAATTACTGCTTTTTCTGTATAATTTTTTTTTTCATGAAAAAGCAAGGCATTTTTTATTAATTGAACAAGGTTAAACATATCCCAGTAAGAACTGTCTGTGTGGTACAGCATCCAAATATTACAATTATAAATAACAACATACAGCGGGCGTATTTCGAATTTTGGCGGAATTTTTTATTCATTCTGAAACAAAAAGGCTGATTATGCTTGCTCAAGCAGTTATATATGTAGACAATTACGAAAATGTTCAACATACTCCAGTTATCTTGGCATAGGTAATTTTGTAGGGGGAACTTTTGTTGTCTTTTGATATGTGTGTGTTCAGTTTGTTTGCCGAAATAAAACCTGGAGACCGGGCGTCTTCATTCAGAATATCTGATCTTGTGTCGCAACAAAAGTCTCTAACCCTGCTTTCGGGAGGACATCAAATGTAGGCCAAGACTCATTATGTTTTCACTTTGCATTTTTGCCTGTCGGATGACAGGAGACTCGGCATGTAGAATCGTGTACTAGGAACTGTTCACAGCTATCATTTGTCAGGATCTGTACTGACGATGTGATCAGTTGTGATGTTTATACCATTTCATGATGCCATCACAGATGCATTCTTGGCATACACTCTTGTACAACCGAAATATGGCCGCATACCAATGTATCTTAAAAAAGGCCCGCCTAATCTAAAAAAAAGAAAATATTATACAGTTTTCTTTTATTCATGTCCAGAGAAACTTGCAAAATCTTTGGCAATTTTCCCCCTACATAATATACATTAAAGAATACATGGATGTAAGTCTAAACCAATCAGATTCTTTGCTCTTAGCTTAATAATAAAGCTTAATAAACTGTTCTGGATATCAACCTCTGTCAACTAAGGAGGACAATTCCGAGATACATGTACTTTGTATTTTTGAGTTTGAGTCTTTGACACATAATAAAAAATCGCCCCAGCAATGAAAAAGTGAAAAGTGTGACAGGCTTGGTAGTGGTTTAAAGCTACCATCAAGGTATTTCTGGAAAATGTTTGTCTATATTTCTTTTCCTTTAGTGGTCTTTTCTCAAAAGACATTTTGTTAATAAATCAGCAAATCATTTAGAAATCGCCTCACTATTTGTGTTGTTATCTCCCCCCGCCCCCACCATCTCCCTGTCTTCACAACCTGCCCCTCGATCTGCTTCTAATTAAAATATCAAGACGTTGATGAAAAAGAAGATATGGAAAGCCAACCTACCTCAAATTCATTCGTTTTTCCAAGTTAACATTTCAGAATTATTATGAATGCAGTCGAAATGTCTGTTTTTTGCAGCTGATAAATCATTTTATGCTAATTTCGTTATCATATAAATTTGTGAAATGGTCTGAAATGTTTAGTTTTATGCATTCATACATTTGAAAATATCTCGAGTTCATATTAGGCCAATCTGTTACAATTGTCACAGGTATTGGTTAGTATGTTGTGTGGTCTCGTGACAAAGCAATTGCTCCAAATTAAGTTTGATCATGATCAGTGCTTTTATTTTGGGTTGAAGAATTTTCGTGAATTTTAAATTGCAATAATTGATAATGCTCAATTTGAATATCATATTGAAAGCATGGCTGAAAATAAAGACGTGAACAACTAAAATGACTGACAAATTTCACGAATGATTATAGTAGGGGTAATTGTTTGAATGATTTTGTAAGCGTATTTAAGTGTTGAAATAATTGATAAAGAAGAAAAGCGAGGATTTCATTCGTAATATTATTATCTCCTTGTTCAATGTTGAAAGAAAGAAATGTTTGTCATTGACTATATCAGGTTGTATGATATATACCTAGCATATGTTACAATATCAAGTTTAAACAGCTGTTAAAAATACTCATTAGGGAAAAATTCTATTGGGTTTTTTGTTGTTGTTTTTTTTGTGTTAACATTATATGAAATTATAATCAAACAAAAGTTGACAATTACTGTACTAGAGAGGAAACTGGTAGATTTTGGTACATTGACTTTTATGAACCTTATTTAACCTTCATTTACAACTGTTGACTGTAAGGTTGGAAGTTTAGGGAGGGGGCAGGGCAGTAATAATTGTACCCTTTAAGCAACTGACAACTTCCCTACATCTCCACTTACATTGCTTAAATCAGTGCTTGAGAATAAATAAACATCAAGATAATGTCTTCAAACCTTGTCATCAAGGAACACATATTTTGTTCCCCAAGGGTTCAAAATTGTCACCCAGCAGCCATTGTACCAATATTTCATCTTCTTTACTAAGCATGTTTGCACAATTCCTTCTGAACAATACAGACATAGTGTGTCTTATGTAAGAGTGAAGTTGAAGATGAAATCCAGTTGCATTTCAATAATTCTAGAAAACAAACTTGAACAATTTCTCCAAGTTATAATGAACTCTGTATTTAAGATGTTTTAATTAAGTGCCAAACTGCGGTAATTGTTGAAATTAAAGCCCCAGAGATACTTCAGTTTGCCTGCCAATTTCTTATAGAGAGTACCACTCTTAATAAATATTTTTATGTTCTCGTTGTGAACTTTGAAAAGAACTTTCTAAAACATAACACAAGTTTCTACAGCCTTACACCCTACCCTGTTAGTAGCTTCCATTCTTTATGTGTAAGTTCAGTAGTTTTTTATAACCAATTTTAACACCATTTTATATTAACTTGAAAACTCTTAAAACATTCCAAGCTTCTGGTTAGCAGTATTTTGTTTTGATAATAAACTTGTTTTCATTGAACTTCTAAGTGCATGTAGGTGCCTTTTCATATATTTTCCACTGTTTTGTGAGTTATGAATATTTAGTTAATGAGAACATTATGATTTTGTCTTCAAACTGGGTGAACCTTTATAAGACTGAATTTGAAATAACTATGAATTTGAAATAACAATAAAATGTGAAATGACCTTAAAGGTCCTGTTTTAATAAAAAATCGCACAATATAAAGTTCTTTAAGGTTTGTCTTTTTATGTTGAGGATTAGAAACTTTTACATCTTTGCACATTACAAGCATTTTCAGATCAAATGTGTAAAAATTCTGGTGTAACGAAATGTAACTGGGAATTATTACGGTTACCGGAACGTAATGACGGTTACCAGCGAGTAATGATGATTCCTGAAATTATTCAGGTCATAAAATATTTCGAGAAAAAACACAGAAAAATCAAACAAAGAAATGTTACGGTTATGAGAAACCACTGAGCAAAACATAGGAATGATCCCCGAAATTATTGAGGTCATACGCCTAGATAATGATCGGTTTTTTGTAGTGCCTCCCACTCAAAAACATATTTATTTCGTATAATCTCTAAGCTGTAAATGAGCCTTTCTCATCATTATAACAAATGGAATTATAATAACAGTAACATTGTAGAATTGTAGTTTGGTTCAGAGATTATTTCTGTCACTTCCCCTTTGGTTTAGAGAATATTTCTGTCACTTTTCTTTCAAGGGTTAGTAGATATTTTGTTGTTGTATGAGGGGAGGCAAGAGACATGTTAGGGTTTTTTTTAATGAATAAATAATTTAAATTTTTTCGTATACTTAAAATAAGAAACCAGATATATCAAGGTTTTGGCTGATGTTAAACATTTATTTCCATATTTTTATTTGGAGGGTATTTCACATTTAGACAGTCTTTAGTAAATATGCTTCGTTTTTGGCAATGTACCTGAAAGATTGTGGTATGGCCAAGACGGAAAAGTGCGATGTCAAAAAATGTTGCAGTTCAGTGCTGATCGGGCAACAGAAAACAAAAAATGCCACAGTAGAGAAGGTGAATTGGAGGGTTTATTAATTGACAGCACATTACACTACTGTGACATGGAAGTTAAAAGTGTCGGTAATTGACACCATGGCAGATCCTAATGTTAAAGCAGTCAAGACAGAATTGCAAATATTGCTGGCATCTTGTGGTTTTTTTCTCCACATACCAATAATATGTTGGGGCAAACTAAAGTAACATACTGAAACCGAGATGGGGGGGGGGGATGTGAATTATTGCATCGTAAAAATAGTTTGAATTGATCAATCTATGAGATATTCATTGTTTATATTGAATGAAACACATTAAATAATAAAAATGCTTTACTTTTCATATATTTTGTTTAACATGCATGGGTTGAGATATATATTAATGGAAAATCAATTATTTATGATGTCAAAAATGTAAAAAAGTGTTCTTTTTTTAAGAAGATACTTTGATATATGTTTGTTGACACAAGCAAGTAAAAGCTGTCAATTGTATGCGTGCACATTATTCAATAATATCTTGATAAATCTTGGTCAAAAATGGTTTCTTTGAGCATATATTTTGTGTTGCTTTCACACTATTTTGGTGAATTATTTTGCGATAATTGATCATCTGAGCTTGTGTGTGGGCCCTTCAGTATTAAAGTGAATCATGACAAACATCTACCAACTGTTGTCTGCTTGTAGTCTGCAGCATTCATACTGTCTGTTGCCATTGACAGATTTCTTGAGATGTCTTCTGCCACATTTCCTTGACATACCCCTGTGACAACTTGCTAACAAATGCAATAAATACACGCAAGAAAACAGTAGCAAAAATCTACATAGAGAACTTATGAAGGTCAAATGTATGTTTAACAAGTCATTGGTTGTAGAAGCAGTTATTTCTTTGCTCATCTGCTATTTGAGCTATTGTTCCAGCAGATGTGATTGGTTTTTACCAGAACTTATTCCTGAATGCCAGTGTGTCATCTTGAATAGCAATCAAGTTTGCCTCTTTCAAAGAAATTCTGGTAATTCTTAATTCATCCAAAACATACAACAAATATGCACTCTAGATATAACAAGGCTTCTTGTATTATTTTTTTTTTACATCTTTTTACCAACACCTTTTGTTCCGAGTTAATGCCATTTATATTTTGAAAATATAGAAAATTTTAAATACTTGAAAAATATATATTTGAATTTATATTTGATACAAAGATTCAAAATGCATTTTGTTCTCTTTTCTAGGTGCCAGATTTTGGGGCAGAGCTAACAGATGGTTGCTATGGTTTTGCAACGAAATACATGCACTGGGATGAAGATCTGATAGTGGGTGGGGTAAGGAAGAATCAAACTGGTCATATAGTAAGAGCAGAGGCGCTGCAATCAGTCTTCTTGCTGATGGGAGAAAGTCAGATGTATGAATACTGGAAAAAAGACCACAAGACCACGGGTATTGACTGGACTCAGGAAAGAGCTAGAATGGTGCTGGAAGCATGGCATAGAAAATTCACTGATGTAAGCATAATTTGATCTGCTAAATAAATTTTGACTGGACTTGTCCAGTTTCCAATTTTAAGAACTGCCTAACTTATTAATTTTGGAAGTATGAAGATGAAAATTTGAAGTAAGTCAGTTAAAACATGTAAATTATGTGCCTGGTCAGACTGTGCAGAATGATGTGCCTGGCTGTATTCTGATGACAAAAGGCTGATTGACTTATCACTTCTGTTAATAAATATGAACTTTTATTTGAAAAGAAATTTAAAACTGTAATCTTTTCTTTAATCTTTCGCTTTTAAATTACTTATATTAAGATAATCTTAATTATGAATTGGTTTTCATAGAGTTACTGCACATTTCATGTACTTGAAAAACTTCCGGTTTTTTTCCGGGTATACTCAGTTTTTCTTCGTGTCCACTCCATGTTTTGTTCATAATTTGATGGTTTTTTAACATAGTGCTTTCTTATTTTACAGACGATGAATGGTTTTAACAATGACACAATGCCAGACAACATGTACGGCTTCTCTATGACATCATTGATGGATATTATGAAGGAATTTTCCAGTATCAGTATTCCTCGGGTCGCCATTGGTTACGTTCTCATGGTAAGTCATCAAAAATTTAAATATGCAAGTCACATTACTTTTTTTTATTGAAACTTAAGTTATTGTATGAATAGACGGCTGTTGAATGGTCATCTCATATTTATTTATCGTGACTTTGTTTTAACATATTGGTTCCCAGTAAAAAATTTAATATTGATTATCTTAAGATTTTTACAAAATAGGTAAGTACCTCCTTACGTGTTGTCAAAAAAAAGGCTTTGTTCTGAATAGGATATATTTTCGTAGGTAAAAAGTTATATTTTTATTGTATTTGTTTTTCAGTTGTTCTATGCCTGTATAACCTTGCTTCGCTGGAACAATGTGATTCAGTCACAAAGTGGTATTGGTATTGCCGGTGTTCTGCTTGTGGCCCTGGCGGTCGCTGCCGGTCTCGGAATATGTTCAATCCTTGGAATTACATTCAACGCCTCAACCACACAGGTAGGCCAGTTTATGTCTGGTGTTTATATAGTAATTCATACTATCATACTATTATCCACCTAGCCTTATGAAGACTGTACTGGTTCTATCGAGGTGTCTGTATCAGAAAAAAAGCATTGTGGGACACTGTCTCCATTCACCAATAAAACAGTAAAGTTGCTATCAGTTCACAATGTTATTATGACTTAAAAACCAACTTGCTCATCACTCTGAAAATGCTGCTCTGCCATTGGTTGATTTCAAATGTTTCCTTTAAATAACCAATCAGTTACAGCGGATTAAAATCTGGTCCCAAAAGTTTGGTTGCTTTATAGTAAGTCACCTCCAAACTTTATAAAATTGCTTTAATTTGAAATTGAAAATTCATAATTTACCCAGTCTGTCTGTGTACTTTAAGTGTAGATATAAAATTGTGTTAGTTTTTTTGTTTAATTTTAATTTATGACTAAATTTATTACTGTTCCTCTTATAGGAGACTTTCTTTTAATTGATTGTTCATTTCATATTGTATATAAGCCAAATAATTAATTCCGTATTTAAATAATTTATTGTAGCAATTTACTCGAACAATACAAATTACAATGTTTATGGAGTTTTTTAGCGTCTACTGAATTTAAGTTCAAACTAATTTATCATTAATCAAATTTAGACGATGTTGTAAACAAACAAGGGCAGTATTTTATTAAGTTTTCGTCAAATTGGGAATAAATATGTTTAAACAAAAATAATATGTTGATAGAAAATATTTCAATTAAGATTTAAGCAATTAGCATTCTTTGTGCTTTTCTTTGTCCCGACTGGAAGTCTATTGTAGAACTTGTTATCCATTATGTAGGTCAAGGCACATATTACCCTTGCCTTACGTAAACAAATGTTTATTATTCACAATTCATATTTCACCCCTTTTTCTAATGCATTTGTGGAATGGATTAGCCCTGCTTTGATTTTGGATCAGTCCAAATGTAGTTGGAGGGATTTCAGTATCAAAACATTTAAAACTGAGTAGCCAACTGTCAAAAATAGTGATGAACACCACTAAATTTTGATATCGGCAAAATAGTAAAGTCAGTTATAATATTTTTTGTCATTGAACCAGTTTGCGATTCTTCTTTACATTGAATGTTTTTCAAACTAACATATTATCAAATGAGTATGTGCAGTTTTATACCGAATTGAATGTATCGTCAAATTGTGCATCATTCTGTGAGATTGTAATCATTCTTGGTGTGTACACTGTATAAATAAACCACAAATTGTTTTTGTGCACCTAGGTTATGAGTGATCATGATGATCCGGGGAAAGGTAACATATAAAAATCCCCGATTGTTTGATTTGTGTGTGGTCCATATGCAATAAGCTGTCAACACTGTCATGAATACTGCATCCGACCTTTTTTTTATGGAAACGTTTTGCGTAGTTCGAGAATATATTAAACACAGAACATTGATTTTATGTGATAAATAGTGAATTGTTTTCACAGATTGAAGAGTTATATAAAATCTATCATTATAAAATACAACAGTTTAGGCTATGAAATTCAGCGTTTTTGCATTAAACTTTTGAAAATGTAACTTTATTTGCGTTTTAATGGAAGATGTTTTTTTTTTTAACTCTATCGCTATCTATCTATATAAACTGTTAAATTTGTCTTAAAAAAACAACAACAACATCAATAGTCTTTTTAAATTTTTGAGATTTAAAGAAAGTTTTAAAAATTTGTCAATCGATAAACATGTAACTAATATAGAATACAAAATACGTTTAAAGTGTGTGTTATACAGTTGTCAGACGCAGTTTTGTGATGGACTGTAACAGTATTAGTGAATGTTATTTTGTCAATGCTGAGAAATCACATCTGTTGTAAACAGGCCGATCTTCTCACATTGTTTCCTGACAAGTCGCTGAATATAAAGGTCCGCCACATCTCGTGTACTCTGATCTTAAATGCCATATATCGTTTAAAAAGGTAAATGCGACACCTTTTGTGATTTATTATAAGATGTAACAGGACAGTCGTACAATGACTGTATCGCATGTGAAACAACATTGAATGAAAGTATGTTTAAATCGTAAATGGCATTCTTTCTTTTTAAATTCTCATTATCCCTAAATCTTAGTGTTGACAGAAAGAAGCTTATGTTGTGTGCCGAAAATAGAAAGAATGAAAAATCGAGAACAAAAAATCGTAAAATTGTATCGATGTCACTACGTGGCCTGTAATTTTCAAATGACCATCGTACTTACTAGTATGTTGATACAAATAGCGTATGAGTGTTCTCTTTAATTAAGGTGGTACCGCACCATTAACCTTTATTGTCTATAAGTGTACCTTTAACCTTGTGAATTTTATTTTAGGAAAAGTTTTATTTCACTAATCAGTTATGCTAGGTAGCATATTTTCCGAAGTTTTCCACACCATGGAAAAACGTTTAGTAAAACATCTTTTTACTTAAAAATCCTCATCCTAAATAAATTTGTTCACATTAATTATTTATTTTGTTTGGTTAAACCAAAATTTTTAATTTACTTATATTTCAGATTATACCGTTTTTAGCATTGGGTCTCGGTGTAAACGACATGTTCCTAATAACACATACATATGCTGAGAATGCGCTTAACGACAATATACCATTTAAGGTAAGTTCATGAATTATATTTTCTATATAATTCTGTATGTATTCTATGTATGGTTCGTTATGTGATATTTAATATGATCACCAGTCAGATTTTACGGCTTTCTTTAGGATCCTAGGATAGTTGTTACAGGTTGTTTAATAAAAATGGTCAATGATGGAGGTGGCTTTTTAGTACAGGTTTGAATATTTAATATGATCACCAGTCACATGATTATCTAGTTTTCTTAAGGATCCCTTATTTTACTGGGATAGTTGTTAAATAAAGGTTGTGTAGTAAAAATGGTCAATAATAGAGGTGGCTTTTAAGCACAGGTTTGAGTATATATATACATATGCAGAGTTGTTAGTAAAGTGCATGTACCTCATGAACTTAGAATAATTAACTCTTAAAACATGTATATGTATGAGGTAGGCCGACTTTTATTGTTTAAAAACATAATGATTCTTTTAAAAGTTAATGTTTTATGCAAATTTTGTTGACTTTAAGGAGACAAATACGTTTTGTTTTCTCCTGTTTTATATGTGTTTATTGCATAATCTGTTATATTCACCTAGCCCAAGTTTTTTTTATATTGTATTGCACCTAAAATAATCTAATTTTAACCCAAGCTATATGTAAATCTTTTCTTAAAATTAAGATTAAGATAGCTTGTTACAAAATAAGTGAGATTATCAGGGAAAACAAATTTTTTATGAAATTCTTCAGAAAGTTTTTGTAAAGTCAAGTTTTTTAGACTCTGTAAAATCTTCATTTTGCTTGATAATGGTCTGTAAATGAAAATTGCTAGATAATTATTTCAGGATCTTAAATTTAGCCCATTGTATTTAATACCTTAACCTTTTTATGATAATGATTAATACCAGAGTATCAAACATGAGAATTTCAGCGATAACCTTTTTTTTCTATATACTGAAATATTATCTTCTTCTGTAATAAAATTTCAAAATATTAAAAGGTTAAAAAGAAAAAAGAAAAGAAAAGATTTTTTAAACCTTTGTAATCAGTCAAACATTAGTTAAAGTAAGTTATTTTATACTACCTTAGAGGTGCACATTTTTGTATTATGATGTGCAGATATGTTACAAAAAAACTGCTTAGATTTTTAAGCCGAAGAAAAAAAAAGATTCCCCTCAGTGTGCCTCCTATTACCATTGTGCTGTGTTTATTAACAAGAGCTAGTCAAGCAAAAAACGCTGGTATTTTTATGTGTATACATTTGCCATAGACGAGGGATGTGGTGTACATCGTGGGCCGATATAAATCAGACAGCGCGTGTGGTCTTTACTAAACTCTTATGCCTACAAATTAATTTGCACAATCATTAATGTAGAGGAAATGGCGTTACACTCAATTTCAGCAGATGGTGCTTTTTTGCGATTTAGTACAAGAAAATAATAACTTTTGGTCGAGATATTATTAGGAAAGAATGTAAAAAAAGCATAAGAAAAGCATAATTTGCAGATGTTTGCCGAAATAAAGATATCAAAAGTTGTATTATTTTTGCTATGCCAACAAATTTATGATTTATAATTTTCTTTATACGATCTTCCTTTAATTAATAATAACAGTCTTTTAACGATCTTTTAACGTATCCTTCAAAAACTTCCTTCATTATAATGTTATATAATTCAAGGTGGGACGAAATTGAATTGAAAAGATTACAGTCGTTTACGTATTAATTTTTCTATGCTGGATTCTAAAAGGGGAAATTTCGTAAGTTTGAATTTTCACAAATTTCAAACGAAAAAGATAAAATACATTGTAAGGAATTTTTCTGAAAAGATCTCTCCCCATATTGGGTTAAACGGCTGAATTAACTCAATTGATGCTAAACTGATCAGGCCATTGAGGTCTTAAAACTTAATTGTGGTGAATTATTGCTTTAATTGGCCTAAGGTTGTAATTGAATACAAATTTCGCTTCTCAATACCTGAATAGGGAGGGTCCTAATTTCTAGTGTAAGTGCACAACCTTTGTTCAAGATAATACACTATTACTAGATCATGTTAAAAAAAATGCTGTGACTTTTTACAAAAAAAATCCACATATCCCCCCCCCCCTCCTTAATCACTTAATCACTCTTTAACATCAAGTCAAAAGATTAATTTATTGTACTGCACTAAAAAGTTTTTTAAAAAATTGAAAAGATAATATGCCGATAAAAAATTGTTAAATGTGCTTTTCATAATAAGTTATGACCTTCGCTCATAAGTATAATTTTAATTCTTTTGGTAAATTTGATACAAACGACCACCATCAAGGATGCAATTTACACTTTGCTTTTTTTTACTATTGTTAGTTTAACAGTTTTTGCATGAAACCCATCACCTTGATAGATGAAGATTGCCTCAATAAATGATTAAGTCATTATGCTTTAAATTCAACAGCTCTTTTTTCATGGGTGCACTGTAAATAAATCTTTAGTGCATTTTAAATTTACAGTCCCCCCCCCCCCCCCCACCCCCAAATCTTAAAAAAACACTTTTAAGTGCTAACAAAATTAAAGTGTTACTGTTTATTTCTTAGGCAAATTTCTGCAGAACCATGCTTTTATGAAATTACTTTGATTTATTCAGCATTGTATATTAAACCATTGGGTTTTCCCTTTTCTGCTGGACACGTGTTCTGTTAGTAATCACTTTGATCAGTCTGGAGACCTAAGTGGTCATAATATTTTATTCTAAACATCTGAGGTACTTGTAAATTTATGTGTAAAGTGGGAGGGCAAAGGATGCACCAAAGAATTTAAGTTGTCCATTTTTTTTATGGAATTTGTTGGGATTTTTTAGTAGAATTTGTATGTTGGTGGTCTGTAAACACGTATCCTGCACTTTTCCAAACAGAATTTTTTTTAAGTGGTTACAAACTAATAGAGAGGGGTATATCTTTCAGTACATTTCCTGTCTTTGTTTTCTCTCTTGGTGTTTATTTTCTCTTTGGGGTTATAATTTGAACTTGTAAGATCAGTGAAAGTTTTGTCTTTATGCAAAGGAAATTGAAATTATTGGCAGAGTTTTGTTTATTTCCTCTCACAAGAAATTTTAACGAGGATATTTAATTGACCTTGATCCATCGCCAGTGAAGTTCAGACTGTTTCACCATGATATCCCATATACTGTGTATTTTGAAACGTTTTCAAAATTCATTAATGAAAAAAAAATTATATTTTAAAGTCCATTGTTTACTAAAAAATGATTGGACTTTTCCCCAAAGAAGAAAAAAACAACAACAACAGAATTTGATTCATAGAAGATGTGAATAAAATATATTTCACACATATGGCAAAAAAGATGGCTTCCTCTGTACTGAGGTGGTGTGCGTCTGCTGCAGAATAAATTGATAAACAAGATTTCCATGATAAATTGTAGCGATATACACTGGATGATTCCAATCAATTTGTTTATAATTTACATCCAATTTCTTCCTGGTGGTAAATAATGGTTTTTGCAGATGAATTTCTGGCCGCCCAAGATGACGAAACATATGCTTAGTGTATTTGTGATTGAAACAGGCCAAGTGGGAGTTGATTTTTTTTAAGGAAAGGTGTAAAATAGTTTACAAATATCAGACCTTCATATTAGGAAGATAATTAAAAGAGCTTCAGTGTTTGAGAAGTTTTATTGACCAAAAAAAAAAGATCAGAAACAAAAAAAATATTTTGTTTAATTTGTAGGTTAATAGTTGGAACATAAATAATTTTTTCAGTACTGATAACTCCTTTTTTCTCCCTTTATTGTCCTGTGAAGGTTAAGTGTAAATAAAATACATTTATAATAGCAAGTTACATAAATAATACTCAAATCTTGATGATAAGTCTTTAACAAGGATGGATTGTACCTTTGAAAATTTGTTAATTGTTTAATTGTCTGCTTTGATCATGTTATGCAGGTTATCCAAATGAGAATCAAGCAAATCTTAACTTCTTTGGTTTGCTTGGTTAGTTTTCTTGTCAGATCTTGGAACATGTTCTACGCAGAAACTTTATTATAAATTCTGCACTAAAATCTATATATCAAAGAAACGATGGCATTGATTCTATATAAACTTCAATAAAATGCAGATATTTTAGTATCCACCATCATAAAAAGATAATGGAAATAATTAAGAAATATTACCAGACAGGCAATCAGCTATTTTTGATCAAGAAATAAAACATTCTATGGTTTTTCAGAGCTGCGGCAAATCTGCTATTATGGTTCTTTTAAAACTTTTCACAAATTTTGGTTTGAAACACAAAGAAATCTGGCTTGAATTTTGTGTTATAGATTTCCTAGAGAAGGGTGGGGTAGGGGATTTGGGATGGCATATGTAATGACATTTTGATGATGTCATCACAATATTTTGAGGGTTTAACACAACATTACTTTATGAACTTTATTTTGAAAATTGATCAAATTAGGACTGTTTCACCATTATCCCTTGATATGTTTAACAAGAAAAATCTTGATTAACGGCATACTTTCAAATGAGGACTCTTCTGCAATTCTATATTGCAATTCTTACTGTAAGTTAAATGGCATATGAACAATAATGCAAGATTTGCTAATTTTCCTTTTATGTATTTACAGGAGCAGACGGCAGAGTGCCTTAAAAGGACAGGAACGACAGTGTTACTTACATCAGTTAGTAATATGTTGGCCTTCTTTAGTGCTGTCATCATCCCTATTCCAGCTCTTCGTGTCTTCTGTATTCAGGTAAATTTTACAATCAAATTATTTAACTGCAGTAAAAAGTAGCTATAAATAGCTCGCCGCTTTGGTAATAAAGTGATGATGTCACAATAAAGTTAAAAATAAATTAAGTATATAAGGTCAATTAGCATGAAGAAAACGCAACAGCTGCTATGGTGTAGTGTTAAGCATACTGGACCGGCAATCCAGAGACCTGTGGTTTGACTTCTGGCTGTGGCGTTCCAATTTTTCATGTGCTTTTTCTCTGTGTGTTTGTATATATTAATGACTTATATTTTATTATAAAATAGACAAATTAGTTGTTCTTTAGATTTACCCGACTTGCACTTTATTTTGATAAAAAGCATTGCCTGATTTCATTGATTTTATAATAACTTATTCTAAATGACTTGCAGAACATATAATTTCTAGAATATATATACATGTTCCTAAGATGATCTTTACTACCTAATTAATAAAATTACTAAATTACCTGTACCACCTAATTGATATAATTACTAAATAACTGGTACTACATAGTTAATTGATTTATATACCTAAATGACCTGTACTACCTTATTAATATAATTACTAAATGACCTGTATTTACTGCATAATAAATTGATTTATATACTTAAATGACCTGTACTACATAATGAATTGATTTATATACCTAAATTAATTGATTTATGATAAATGACCTGTACTATATGACTATATTACCTTAAGTGATTAACTGATTTAGATCCGTAAATTGCAAGTATCACTTGATTGATTTATTTGAAAACCTAAATGAGCCTTAATGCAAGATGATATTTAGTTCATAGATAGTTATCCACACAATAAAAATAGTTCAGTGAAATTCAGTTTCTATATATAGATTTTAATATGGCACGAAAATTTGAATGGAATTCTGCGTAAAATGTAACAGACTGACTTTGATTGTTTAAGATGGCTAACTTTAATGCCTTTCCTACAAATACCGTATGTACTTGTGAAATATTAGAATTCAACGTTTTCTTTTGTCCCTTGATGAAATGTTGGTAGGACTGTGGTGTGAAATCCATATTTAAAACATAAAGTGAGGTTTTTTTCATGTATTGTGAAAAGAATGGGCTGTTTGTACACCAGTATAACTGTACACCAAATCAGATACAAGATTTTAACATAGTGGTGTAAGAACATGTCTTGGGTGGCCCGACAGAAATATTATTTGTATCAAATATGTATTTTATTGAATGGCATGTTACTTTCGTACCTATAAATTACCTTTACACTTAATGTTTATATGCTACTGCAAAATCGTAACAATTTATATGCACTGTTTAAGAGTGTGAAAGTAAAATTACTTTGAGAATTTTAACTTCAGCTTTCAAGATGATGATAAAAACAGATTTTTTTTATCCAATTATTGCCACCCATGTGAGAAAATTCATAAGTTTTATAGAATAGCACCCTTAAAGGTTATTTCAAATTCATAAAATGATGAGGGCAAAGTCACAGCATATTGTGATTTATGTGAAATGGTTTGTTTGAAATTTCAGCATTACTATGCTATGTCCTAAAAGTTTTAACATTAAAAAAAGAACAGAGTGTGAGGGCAAAATATGCGACATATTATCAAGTAATTAAGAAGTATCGCTAGTATGATGAGTAATGAAGTATTATAACGTTGAGTTTTTAATTAAATGTAAAAATAAATTTAATCATGACATTAATAAAACATCTCACTTCCCCTTCCCCAAAAATGTAAGGCATTAAAACTTTCAAACCAACTTTACCCTCCCCCAATCTCACCAAACCCTCCCTCCACACAATGTGACCTGTTGTATGTATGTACTGAAGTACATGTACACACGAGTTCACAGGCTTTGTTATTTAATACTTTACACATTAAACACCTGTTGAATATAGTTTTCATATACATGTTGATGATTTAATAGTTCTAATTAGCATTCTGATTTAAATCACTCCAGCATTACTTAAAAGTCTTTACTTTGAACTCTTACCCTGTTTTATATATTGTATTTTTGTGCAAGCGTTTTAATTTTACGACAGGTAAAAAGAAATTAACCTGCTTCGGCAAAACATCTGGAATGATAGAAGTTATGCAAAATTTCAATGAACAAATAAATGTCAATGAAAGAAATATCTCCATATGATAATTTAGGGAAATAATGAATGCATATATGACATGAGGCAGATATAAACACACAGAGACCACCATGAAATTGTGCGGAATATGAATAAAACCAATTAGGTATTGTTGCCGAATGTTATGGTAAAGGAGCAGGATAGATGAATAGCTATGCAAATTTACGTTAAGTTGAAACCTTACATAATTATGACTTCAAAGGGGATTCAAATGGTAAAAAAATGTTCAATATTTTGACCTTCGGTACCGAAATTGTACGTGGTTAATATGTGTTAAAATTTACATGGTCGATCAATGATTTTCGAATGAATGTCATAAATATACTATGCAGACGAAACGAAAAAGTACATATAGTAAGGTATTAATCAAAAGTTGTGTATTAGATTTTTAATGTAAAATGTATCGTTGCCATCTTCATTTTAATACCTTTTGGTATGTTGTACAAGTCTGGATAATGCAGAGATTAACCACATATAAAAAGCAAATGTGCATTCAAAAAGAAGAGCGAGAATTTCACAACATGGTAAAGTAATTTAAAGTAACGGCTCCGTTGCATATTCATATAAACAACGGCAGTCAAATTAGAGATGGAATCTACGTACAGGAAAGATCTAAGATCTTGTATAGTGAACCACTAAAAGCCGAAGCTTGTTAACTTACGTTACGCAGATAAACAGACCAACAGGAAATATGCATGAAATTCCTCGGTACCTGCATTAAATGATTTGACATTATTTTCTAAAAACCTACTCATAATTTCTGATTGCCTCGTAATAGATTTTGATTGAAAACGGTTCTATTTTTAAGTAGTCAAACAGATATCATGTTGTGCCACATATGCGAAATTTCATTAAAATAACGTTAACGAAAAATGACAGTTTATTAAAATTCATTTACGATAGGAAGATGTAGGAAAGTTTATATTGTGAAACAAGGCATGTTAGCAAATGTTTTGCAGAAAATTATTCAAAGAATGAAAATGAAACTTGTTGGTACTGAAACTCCATTAACAAAATATTCTAAAGCCTAGCAAAGAATACTGTTTGGGTGGTATTATTATTATTATTTTACTTTTAAAACTGTAAGCTCAATATTATTCTTTTGGTAAGTCAAGAAATAAGCCCCATGGCACTATTACCGGCAAATCAGTGAATGAGTCTTTATAGCATAAATACGGGAAAGTCAAAAGACAGACCAAAGGACACTTAAATACTGCAAAATTGAAGAACAAAACTTCATGACATAAAAACTGGCAAGTCAATAAATGAGATCCAATGACATAAAAACTAAAAAAATAGACTGAAATTTGGTTCACAAACTGTAAATATGTCTATACAACTTCTATACATTTGTTGATGAATTGAAATGAATATGTTTTTGCAGCAATGTTCAAGATCATTACGTTATTTTGTCACAATGTGAAAAATGTTATCTATATATTTACAGGCTGGTATTCTGATACTATTCAACTTGGTTGCGGTACTTTTGATTTATCCGGCTATCTGCAGCCTTGACCTTAAACGTAAGAAGAACAAAAGGGTTGATGTCTTCTGCTGTTTTGAGAGGTAAAAACTTTTCTCTCGTTTGCATTAATTCTGTTAATTATTTTTCGATTAATTACCACTTTTAAGCTTATCATTAATTAAATCGGCTGAGTATACCTGAATGTACAGATATATTAAGTGGCAGTGTTTGAAGATAAGCAAATTTTAATGAAATTGCATTTCTAGGCACTCAGTAAACTTGGGAAATATTTAGATTTTGAAGTACAATTTAATCTCTTCATTTTGTTTAATGACGCGTGTTTCACGATATATACTGAATGGCAATAAATTAATAACAGATATTAAAAGTTAGCAATTCTCATATTTGTAATTAAAACTACAGATGTCATATGGTTTTTTAACATCTTCAGCATGCTGTAGAGCTGTTGAAAGACTTGAATTTATTTTTCGTTTTTGGATTCCACATGTTTTAATATTTTTTGTTTTATCAGTTATGGGGATACCACAACAGTTATTGAACTACAGCCACATATTAATGTGCATGATCCGACTGATCGAGAGTTGTCCCCACCTCCTGGTTACAGCCCACCCTCTTATCATCCACCTCCATACAGCGACCTTCTGGCACGAGACATGATCACCCAATCTTCTTCCGATGGTGGTCATGCACAAACAGTTCTAGCGCCGAATGAAGGACAATTTGTCACAAGATGTGGTTCACCTATACCATTTTCAAGTTAGTAAATGATTCTGTCTACCTATCATGAATAAATATATAATTATAATTCTTTTTTTTAAAGTTGAACGATTTTTCACTGAGGATAAATTAAATGTAAAGTGGCGTAAAGAATATAAACTTTCACTATAAGATTATATTTGCCTGTTTGAAGTTTCAAAAATTGCTTGTATATACATTGTATTTCACAATTCTTTATTGCTTTATGATATACTTGTTTATTTTAAATCAATTTCTATTCATTGTTTAAACTTAGATTTCATTAATTTATTTTACAGATTATGACACTGCTAATAATAATTCTCGTCAATGTTTAACCGATGGTGATACGGTGACGTGTAAAGAACGTTTCGCAAAATTGCAAAAGGAATGTCTTACAACGTCATTGACTGCTCTGGCAGTAACTAAATACGCACCATTTCTACAAAAGACTCCAGTTAAAGTGTTCACTAGTATTTTCTTTATTGTTATACTGATTATCGGAATCTGGGGTACAGCCCAGGTGAAGGACGGTCTGGATTTGACCGACGTAGTGCCGCGGGACACATATGAATATAGTTTCTTAGAAAACCAATCAAAATATTTTGGATTTTATAGTATATATCTAGTGACTAAAGAAACTGATTATCCAAATAACCAAAGACTATTGCGAGAGTATCATCGGAGCTTTCAAAATGTGGATAAAATATTGAAAGAGAAAGATGGCTCTTTGCCAACATTTTGGCTCGACACTTTCAGGGATTGGCTTGTTCGTAAGTAGCAATTTACATATGATTTTGCATTTGATTGTTTTATTTCTTCAAAATTTGGATTATTTTTACTTTGCTCGAACAAATCCAAAGTACAGTGAATCTGATTGAACTTAACCATATTATTGCTGAAATCTTTCAAATAAATAGGTCATAAGTAAGTTTTGATGAATTTAAGTATCTGTGGCAAAAAGCTTGACATACTAAAACACTCAGTGGTAAAAGAACAAGATAGTCAAATAACATCTATGAATCAAATGACCAATGGCAACTTTAATTACAGAAAGCTTATAACAAGCAAAGTTTATACAATTTTTGATTTAATCTGTTGACATTCACATACATGAAGTTAAATAATTGAAAATATTTCGTTCGTATTTTATAGGGTTACAAGTCGCATTTGATAGAGACTATGCAAATGGCACATTTCATAAACACGGGTGGTATTTAAACGCATCTGATGATGCTATATTAGCGTACAAACTTCTCTCGCAGACGGGAAACCCTGATAATTCAGTCGATGAAACACAAATAACTAAAATCCGTCTGGTCAATGCGGAGGGCATTATTTATCCACCGGCATTTTATAATTACCTCACAGTCTGGATATCAAATGACGGGCTGGCGTATTCATACTCGATGGGAGAGATCCGGCCGGAAACTCAGTCCTGGCCTCACGATCCCTATGATAAGGATATGAAAAGTAAGTATGAGGTCAACTTACAGTGTTTGTAATCATCTGCAGCCAAATATTCAAACTAAAAGTCAAATTTGCTTTTTTTAGAAATATTTCATATAATATTTGAATTTTACATTTGAAACCAAGAATATCAAATGACTGTTATTCAAAAGTGGCGATGATGAAAGCAGTTGTTGTCTTCTTTTTTAACTATTAAAAATGCTTATTATTAGTACAAAAATACAAAGACCTATAAATAATAAAATAGTACTTAATCTCAATTTTTGTAATTCTTTTCAGTTCCAAAAGCAAAAACCATCATATATGCCCAGGTGCCATTTTATTTGTCGAGACTGTCGGACACAGAGGAGATTCTCGACATAGTTCTACAGATTCGTTCAATATGTGACGACTTTTCGTCACGTGGACTCCCAAATTACCCTAGTGGTATTCCATTTACATTCTGGGAGCAGTATATAAAGTTACGATTCTACCTCATGTGGTCACTTTTGTGTATTCTGCTGGTGACGTTCACAGTTTTAGCGGTGGTTCTTGTCAACCCATGGTTAGCTGCAATCATTGTAAGTAAAATTTGCATTTTTTTTCTTCAAATTTTCACCTATTTCTTTTTGTTGATTTCTGTATAAATTACTTTGCACTATGGTACTATAGTCATCTGATTGCTGAAGGAAGGAATGCAGTGGTGACTTTGACAGTCACATGACTTAAGGAATGACCCCACATCTGGGTGGAATTCCCGTCATGATTATGTTATAATGTGAAAATTATGCATAGCGGCTTGTTATTATAATGAAAAGTAAAACCGGATCACTTTTTGAAGTATTATGAAGATTAAGTGTATGTTTATTTGTTCAACCATAACACGTGCAATGGGTGGGGGGGGATAGAATTCTGGTTTAATTGTTATCTCATCTGTATTAATTGGCCTATGTACAAAAATTAAATTGCATTTTTGTTTATATAGACAATTTTTTTGCCAGAAAATAAAAAGCATCCATGAATCTGTTAAAAGCACATGTTTATATTGACAATAAACTCGTGCAATCTTCTCTATCTTAGATATAGAGAAATAATAATTTGCGTTTTATGACAGATTTCAAATTAGAATTTACTATATTCTGTGAAAAGCAATCTGGCGCTACTGCATTATTTAATTAAAATAAAAGATCTACAGGATCTTATTTGACCCAGTGGGGGTTTTACGATTCGTTGTCACTTAAGTTTACGATTCTATCAGTCGGAATTTCATAATATTTTGGTAATTGGATTTCCAGCTGTAGAACTTACTATGTCTTGAAAGGTTTTTTTTACGTGATTTTAAAAGGTGGTCTTAAAATTTTCTATGTTCTTTATCACGCTGTGCGGTAGAAACGAAAACCTCTGGTAAAATGAAGTTGCCAAATAATTTCTGGGAGATATTGCTTGTAATCGTTTTATTTTCAATTCATTTTTCAACCCCTTCAAGGTGTTCTCATTAATTTTTTTTTTAACTTTTCAAATTTTTGAAATTTTATCGCAATTAATAATGATCATGGGGAAATAAATGGATTTCGGTTATTTCTAAGAAACAAAATGTAGATATGATGTAATGAACGCTGAGATACATAGTTGTTATTGCGTATATTCATCCATGCTGAAAACAAATACATCAAGATTAATTTTTTGTATTTACTACTGTGAGTGAAAGAGTGAAAAGAAAAAAAATATTTTAATGTACATGTATATATATGTCGATTTCATTTACTCAGGCCAAAAAAAAAAGCAAATGACTAGAATTAGAATGCTAGTTATTCCATCAATTTCATGTACATTAGAATATTATAAACAATTCTTAAATTCAAATTGAATGCTCTTTCTGAATACAGTCTTCTTCTAAGACAATAAATAACATAATCTGAAGCTAAAACATAGTGGCACCCAGAATAATGAAAATAAATTAATAATTGGAATAAATTATTTGTCTATTTCAGGTTGTTATTGTTTCGCTGATCCTAGTGGAACTGTTCGGATTTATGGGTATTTTAGGTCTCAAACTCAGTGCGATACCTGCGGTTATTCTGATCATCAGCGTTGGAATAGGTGTCGAATTTACAGTCCATGTTTCTGTGGTACGTACATCAAAATTTGTTTCTGTTGCATACTTTAGTGAACATAAACCATATTTTACAGCTCCTTTTTGCCCCTTACTTAGTTGCGATTCTGTTTACAGTAATACAAATGCAAAGAAACTTTTGTTCTGAATACACATATATGTAATTAATGTCAAAATCATTCGAAACATGCTTAAACGTATTGAAACACTATATTTCCCGTTTTTTCTAGGGTTTCCTGTCATCCATTGGAACAAGGAATGACCGGATGCTAATGGCACTAGAGCATACTTTTGCTCCGGTTGTACATGGTGCAATCTCAACGTTCCTTGGGATTATAATGCTGGCTGGGGCCGAGTTTGATTTTATTGTCAGGTAGGATTCACATTTTTTTTGTCGGTTTATTGAAGTTTTGAATAAATCTCAAGCCGATGCTTGAGGTTGTGAGTGATTTTTCACTTTTCAACTATCTCTCAAGAACAGACTCAATCAAACTGAGTCTGCAATTTTAACGTAATTCTGTTATTTTCATTGTTTCCGAGGGATCCCCACTTTTCCAGATTTTGTTTTTGTTCTTTTCCTTAAATCAAAAATGTACATGCAATAAATATTGTTAAGATGAAAACAAAAAGTTAAGTAAATTTAAAAAGAAAAATTGCAGATTTAATGTTAAGTTGCTACCTATGTTTTCAATTTCAAATTAACATGTTCAGTTGTGCTTGATTAATTTATTTTCTTTTTTAATTTAAAAAGTTTAAGTTATTTTATATATTCAGTGATTTTCACATTCTTGATCAGAACCTTACATGTAGTTAATGCTGTTGTTTTTCAATGTTCAATTTTAAAAAAGATATTTATTTTAATCAAGATTTGTTCTTTATTGAAGAAATGTAAGTTTTTGGATTATTATAGACACATGCAGTTTTGGTTTTTAATATTTTTTTTCTTTGAGAAAGCTTAGACATTTTTTTCTGAATGAGGTTTATGAACACTAAATTACAATTTCCTTTACTATTATTTTCTTCATAAAAGGAAGGTTAAAGCTGATATTTTAATTTAATCGTTTCTATTAAGTCTGCCAAGTAGTTTCTAAAATCAAATTGAAATATTTGAAACATTATTTGCTTAAGGGTTGCGAAATTGGTAAAATTTGCTTGTTGTTTTCAAAAGCCAGAAGTATATTTGAAATTTTTTATTGATACAAGGTGGTAAATTCACGTCCTGGGCGTAAAAATTGTTGCCCGGAGGCCTCTGAAAAGGTGAAAGGGTTATAGGTGTTTACTTTCCATCAATAAAAGCTTTAAGATGTTTTTATGTTGATTGTTTGACCAGTTTTGAAGTGCCTTATCAGGGACAGGTATTAGATGACACAGGCTTGTAACTGTTGCATAATCAGATGTGTCCGTCTGAAGTAGATTATATAAGTACGGAAGCTTTGATTAAGGTGCTTGTTCAAATTTGGCGTTATAAGGGCTGTTGGCAGCTTCCGAAATTCACACAGTAAATTTAGTTGCTATTGACCCTGTTACTTCATTTATTGACTTTGCGTCTGTTTAATTATTTAGACAAAAATGGTAACTATTCATATCTTTAGTGAATGCCGTTTCCAGTTTCCGGAACAAAGTGAGAAAAAAAGCAGAAGTGTTTAAGAGCAGTAGATAATTTGGTAAATGTTTAAATTCTCTACATTAGAGATGATTTTAACAAAGATCAGAAACCATTCTAAAAATTAAAGGCTACCATTGGTCGATTTCAAATCTGTGCTGAGAATCAACCAATCAAATGAAAGAGTTGTAGACTGGTCTGCAGTTTGGACATTTTAGACTCTTGATTTCAAACAGGATATTTTTTGACAGTTTAAAAATTAACGTTGTCTTTTTTGGACATAGTAGTTTCTTGAATAAGAGGGTTTTGATATAATTGTATGCAACATTCAGAAAAGTTTACTATTTGTACGTTAAGTTATTTTGAAAAATAACTTGGTAGTTCTTGTTGCATTATAAATGTTATTATTAGGTTCAGGATATATGGGGCATACAATGTGATGAAACATGTTGGGTAATCTTATCCATAAATAATACATCGAGTATGTTGATTATTAGATCTAGGCAGACGAATTTGTGTTTCAGCAGACCAGAAAATCAAATATTTATGCCATGTTGCAGTTTTGCTTTTCATATGTAAATCCCCCCCCCCCCCTATTTTTCCTTTACCAGTCTTCATTTTATTTTTATATATTTTTATACATATTGTTTTTCGACTAATGTAATGTCAAACCCTCTTTTAGGGAGGCTCTTTAAGTCATGCCAGATGAATACTTCCTGGGTGTCCTAACCAAGTTCTTAACATTAGGTTATATTCTTTATTTTACTGATTGTTTTGCTAACATGTCAGAAGAAGAAAAGAAATGAACATTCTGATATTGAACAGTCTGAAAAAGAAACAACATTGATTTGTTGATTTATAATTATTTACCTTGTTATTTCATTATAAAAGAAAGAATTGTCAAAAAAAATTAAATTTCTACTTAATTTACTGGAAATTACAAAAAGGCGACCTGCTGGTATTTTATCTGGGAATCTTGTATGCCGCTGGTTTTAAATAAAGTGGTCTGAACTGGTTTTTAAAAGAGATCATTAATAGATTTCATATCTTTTAATTCAGTTAGATCTACCTGATTGAAGGTATGCTGAAGTTGTTACATCATTTCCCTGTACTAATTTTTCTGGTATCAAACCAGATATAAGCCTGACACACTTGTAAAATTTATGGGTGACACATTTGTAAGGTTTAAGCGTGAAACATTTGTAAGGTTGGCACACTTGTAAGGTTTAAGGTTGACACACTTATAAGGTTTAAGGGTGACACACTTGTAAGGTTGGCACATCAAGTGTAAGTTCCACGGCGACAATTACTAGGTCAAAGGGTGACATTCTCGTTTTAAGGGTGACTCACTTAAGGCTTAAGTGTGGCACATAAGCTTTCAGGAAGGCACACAAGGTTAAAGTGTGGCACACTAGGTTAAGGGTTGACACATCAGAAATAAGAGCTGCATAATTCTAATGTTAAATAGGCAGCACATCAGGGCATAAAGACACATCTAAGTAGCACACCTGGTTTAGATATACATTTTGTATTGAAATTGACATTATTTTGTGGTGTCCGTATATAAATGTATACTTATTAATTCAAAACACACTTCTTTTGATTTAAATTAAATATGGCAACAACACAGTTTGTAAGATTTTTTTTTTTTTTTTTTTTTGAAAAGGTAAATAAAGTGGACATAATTTTATCCCTCAAATTTGTACAATGGATTATATATATAACTTATTTGGCAGGACCACCCAGTTAGTTTCAACTAAGTTTATATTGTGAACCAATCTAGCTACTACCTTGAAAAATATATGTGTAGCAGTCCAGAGTTTATTGCTGAGGCTCTCCGTGGGGGACAAATTTATATGAAGAAAAAAAGTTTTCAGATTAACTTTGCATAAGATTAAAAAAATACAAAATAGAAACAATATTGGAAAAGTAAAAAATATACTCTTATTTGTGGTGGCTGTTCATTTCTTTTTCTTTTTATGTAATTCCTTTTTCAAAAGTTTTTAACTGTTTTGGTATAAGACCTTTATGTAAAATGAGTCGAGGTTCCTTTTTTTTTTTCAAGAAAATATTTATTATTTGTAAACAAGTTTGTCAAGACATGTTTACATGTTTATGTGTATTTTTACATGGTTCTCTTGGCAGTGCATGTCCACACTGCAATGAAGAAAATGGCATACAAAAATAAAGAAACAAAAAATGCTAGTACAACTATAATGTTTACACCCACTATATTACTACTTTACTTACATATTTGGACATTTAACAATATGAGAACACCTGGGCAACTCATTAATTCTGGTCATTTTTTATTGGCTGTCAACAATATTTCCTTCAACATAACCCTGTGGGAACATCTGTGATCACCATGTCTAATATGTGGCCCGCTAAAGCAAACTCAAAAAAATATTGTTGTCATCTTTAGTTAGTACTTGTACATATGTTATGTTTTAATGCAGTCATCTCCAGTATATTTGGTACTTGTATATATGTTTTGATGAATTTCAACATGATTTGTTTAACTTGAAATGTTGCAGCTATTTCTCAATTTTGATATTTCCATTTTCTTATCGACATAAATCGCAAAAGCTTGAAACCTGGGAGTTACAATAGCCATGGCTTTAATTAAAGCCAAGCCTTGAAATAACAAAACATAATTGGACATCAAATCGTAACATCATGTCCTCTCATGGCAAAAAACAACACCAGAATATTTCAATTTTGGTTTATATGTGCTAGATCTATGTGTGCAATTTTCACTTGCTTTCTGAGATATTTTTTATAAAATGCTGACCGGCCTAAATGTTCTATAACTTGGTCAATGGGTTAAATGTCATACTGTGTAGATGTAAATCATCATTTGTCTTTTCTACATTTTTACTAGATTATAAGTCAATGTTCCTGTGTGTTAATAAAGTAATATTTAGCTTACATTTGTGACCTTTGTTTGTTACCAAATTTTTTCATAGGTCAGGCAAAATTTATATATGGTCAGCATACTGTTTTGTATTGCTTTAGAGAGATAAGGAAGGAAGCTTGCAGTGTCATATATGCTTCAATCACAGTTAATGTGTTTTATGCAAAGAGCATTCCTTGTTAAATTTTTGAACATGGTATTTCCTAATTCTAAAATATTTACTGATATACCCCCAGTATATACAATCCACATATAAAACACAGAAATCTTGTAATCTCTTTTTAAATTTTCATTTATTTTCAGTCACAAAAATGTATTCTAAGATTTTTACTTCAAATTACAATTTTTTTTTTTTTTTTTGCTGAGGTCAAAAATTATTTTATAATCAGAGTTTTCTTATAAACTAGGACGAAAAATTTGCATTAAATAATATATCTATGAAATAATTTGTAAATTATGCTTCATTTGTTAATCTATCAACTAAAAGACTAGAGAGAGGAAAAGAGATAAATTCACGATAAATCAGTGATGGAATATGAACATGGCCACTTTACTTTTGTTTAGCGCTCCTCGAGGAAAAAATGCTACAAACAATACCTTCTATTATATGTTAATGGCAAATTCTTGAAATTTTCTTGGAATTTCTTGGAGAGTCTAGTACCTCATAAAGCTCTGAAACAACTCAGTAACGTGCTAAAATGTGCCAGTTTTTGGCAGGAGACTCGCACATCTCTTGACCTTCGAGATCGTTTTTCAGAACTTATGATATACAGTGTACAGCGTATAATTGATACATAAACAACAACAAAATGAGAGAGAAGTTTGGTGTCTGAATTGACTTTTTAAAAAGAAA